CACCTTCTCTGGTTTAAGAAGCGGTCTTTTACTTGACTTTCGCTTGAAAACCATCCATCGTTTCCTCAATATGCGCGTTGTTTTTGCTGCACGCACCTTCGCGCACGTGCTGAGGCGGCGAGTATACTCTCTAAGCCGGTTTCGTTATGCTTTCAGTTTCGTTTGCCGTTTGATGTTTCTCACATGCAACAGAAATTGAAGTACGTGTGAGTTCACCAACGCGGTGGTCGCGCCAGTGCGACCGCACACGTGTGGCATATCAAGATGCTGATTAGACAGCATGATTATTGCACAGGTGTGCCTTAGGCTGGCCACAATAAAAGGCAAATAAAATGTGCAGGCACAGGCCTGCCCACTCTGATGAAAGGCCTCCCCAGTTTATTATACACATATAATATTTGTTAAATAATTTTTGTTTAATCTATTTTAACACAATTAGAGAACTATTATAAGGGCTGTGAACATTTCTGTAGCTAAAATAAATCACAGCGCTACAAGACATCAGTCCTTTGACAGATCTGTGCAAGGACTCTGCAATTCATCACACCAGCAAGCAGCTAAAATATAAACATTACAATGAACACATTTAGAAAAGAATTGCATATGTTAACATGGAAATCTTGCGACCCAATTCAAACACATTTATGTTTAAAATCCTCCCAACTGTCTAAAAGTGCTCAAAGCATTTCAGAGTCTTAAACTTGCCCTCAGAAAACCAGATCTTAATTTGAAGGCAGGGGCGTAGGCAGCGGTCTAATATTTGTTAAATAATTATTGTTTAATCTATTTTAACACAATTAGAGAACTATTATAACATCTCAAATAACTCAAATAAATAAAATGTGTTTTTGCATAATTATTGATGAGTTTAATTGACAGCAGTGTTAGCCAATTGTTATCCAGGCAGTTTCGTGTCGCTCATGTAAATTCGTGTGTGTTCTGTTCACCCATTCAGTTGGACTGTAATTTGCAGCTGTTTTAGAAAATGTTAGAAAAACAGCAGCAATGCATAATTCAGTTAAAAAGACTTATAAAAACTTGCACTGACGAGGGAGAGAGCCCATCCATCAGCCTGCAAGTAACGGTAAGACTTTCAGTTCCACACGCGAACCGGTTCATTCTGTGAAGCCGGGAAACACTGTCAGGCCGATTATGAATGTCATTTGAGCTCAGTCAGTGTTTTCAGTCGGTGTTCAAAGTCGTTTGGTGTGCGGTGTCTAAAGAATTTAAGACCAGCTGCTGCCAGTCGTCCACACAAAGATTAGCCTATTTTTTATTATTATTATTATTTTTTTTTTTTT